ATCAAATCCAGGATCGTGTGACAGTGGCAGGATAGATATTGCTCCATTTCCACCTGCTATCAAGACTACAGGATCATAGAGTGAGGATAAAGGTGACATTCATCTCTGGTCGATCCTTTCAAGAAGTCGCCACGCAGTTTATTTTCACTCAGATTTTCTTAGGTATTTGAAAACATATACCATAACTTGCGAGCAAAAGTCGTTGTGCAAGTCATTGTCTTTGTCTTCCTCTCGAAGCACCTAAGTGGCCCTGGAAGGAGGGTAGTGATTGGGCCATGTAAGATTTTATGTGGGATTTGACCAAAGGCTACACCAATTGTTACCGTACCGCACATCCATCGTAATAATGAGTTGTGCAGGAAGAAGGGATAAGCATATTGTTTATACCTAAATCCTCAACCTTCTATTCTTCCGCCACTAGACGGAGCTTTTCCAGTCCGTTTTACTCCTCTAACCACTAACAAAGCTTCTTTATTAGGAACGCTGTTATCATGAAGTTGACGTCATCATGCACAGCGTGCGAAGCAGGCGCCCAGTTCCGGTGTCCAGGTCCCATTTTGACAGTACGACGCTGTGGGACCTTCGGCGATCATGTTTGGAAAACATGTGAGCGTAGCCACCGTTCCAGTGTCTTTTTCAATCTGAAAATGGCATTTTCTCATTTTTAAACTACTTCAAATAATACTTGTCGGGCGAAAGTTACGGTAACAACACAAAAAACGGATGTGAGAAGATGGACCCAAACACAATAATATGTGTAGGCTCTATACAAGTGGGGTGGGCACGCCCAGCTTTTCACGCATGTCAAGTGACTGCCCTCACCCCCCCCCACCCCCTAGATTGGCTACACTCCCCCCTGGCTCACGAATTCCCCGATTCTCGTGACAGTATATAGTAGCGGGCAGCAGTCCCACTTACATACATTTCTGTTCAAAAAATGCGGCGTGCCCACCCTACTTGTATAGCACATATGTGTATCAGGGGAAGATCAGTGTCAAACAGAATGCAACATTATGTGCATCTCGAGGTGCCGGTCTGCCTTGTCTTATGAGCGAAGTTATCTCGGAAACGCATCTGCGCGTGTTGTATTAGGAAGCGGAATCGAACTTGTGCTAGGCTTTTCCTTAATTCATCGATGCTTCAGTGCCTATAGAGCATATCGTTCTCAGTATACACCACGGAAAATTACCCATTTATTTCAAATTAGGGAACAACGCTGCTACTTGCAATGCCGTAATTGTGGAAAGATCTGCTGTACCATTTTTGTATAATCTTTGCTTTGTGTGCAGCCGGTGTATCCTGCTGAAATGTGAAGAGGTTTCTGTTGAAGGCCTTCTCAACCAGATGCATCTACGAAGTTTGACGGAGTTCAAGATGGTTCGCCAGCGCTCTGATTACCGTAATTTTGCCCACCGTGTACAAAATTCGTTGTGGAACGAACGAAAAACTGGATAACCGAATCGAGCTACACCGCTGTAGTGTTGTAAACAAAAAACAACAAAGGTGAATAATACAGCAATGCAAAGCAACAAAACAAGCTGCTATTCAAATGTAATCTCACTTTCAATATGTCAGGATCACTGTAAGCAACTTGTCCATTGAAAGCTACTATTCCTGAGCATTTTCCTGCAGAAAAATTGAATGACATGGGCAGAAAAACATTCGCTCTCTACTTATGGAAGATTTTATGGATTTACACGACTTCTCTGAATTGCTGAAGTGAGCTGATATCATCAATTTTTTCGCTTGATTTAAGTCTGTATTACTGTAAGTTTCCAGACGTCATGAAGACCTACCAGCGGAAGAGATCGCCGTTGTCAAACACGTTCCAAAAGTTGCCGGAACCCATGTTCCATTCACGCATGAGGCAGCTACTGGTCCTAAAGCAAAAATGGCCGGCTGAGATTCTGAATCCTAAGTTAAATTAAGTTTTTGAGTAAAAAGGTAAGTCAGTGTGTAGGCTCTCTATAGGGTGTTGAGTAGAAATTCAAGTCAATCGTGAATTTCGTAGTATTGACTGTCGTTATGGCTGTGATTGAGAATGCAGTGTATTTGAATCCCAATTATGTTCGCTTTCCACTACCGGCCGTAGCTATACATGCTTCAGACTGAATAACACCCTTCAAAGAAATCTATGTTCAAATCCCAAGTATTGCCGTGGTGGAAGTAAGACTATTCGTTGACTTGGAGCACTTATGAAACGTCTACCAAGAGCAAAAGTTGAAGTGCGAGACTCAGGAAATATTCTGGAATTCGTTGACTCCAGTGGGTAACACCAACATCAGAAGGTCAGCTAGAAGTTGTATCAGCTTATTTGGACGGAAATCTAGAAGAAGAGATTTTGACGGTATTGCTGTGCCCCTCAAATTTTTTTTGCACAAACAGCCAGAGTGAATTGACCTTAAGATGGGTGAAGTTTATCTTTTGAACCGGTTGAGAGGTTGACGCTTAGGACGCTCATTTATTAGGTTGATGCATAATTATTGCGGCTTTTTTCGCGCGTTCTTTTCTCGAGAAGATTGGCGTTTGAGTTTCTGTTTTTTTCATGAGAATATTCTTCTTTTTCCATTAACAGAAATGCTTATCGGAAATTGTCTTCACACCACACATGCTTACTACTTCTATAAATGTTAGAAGGCGGCGGGGCCATTCCGCGATCTCATCAAACTTCTCAGCGAGGGAGCAATTAGCAAAACCCAAGACGAAGGATCGTTCAAGAAGTTTAAAACGCCACATCTACCGAGCGGAGCTCCTACAGACTAGCAATTCAATCAGACGTTGAAAAACTGGCAAACGAACAAATTTTAGGATGAGCTGGATGCGTTGGTGGCCAGTGTTAGAGCGTGGATCGTCTCCGAGAATCGTGACTTTTTTATCCGTGGAATCACCGAGAGAAAAGCAAATGGGAAGCATTCTTGTGGGATGGTGACCACGCTCCGGGGTTATTATTTAAACATGTTTTTGTTGAATAATTTTGTCGTTTTCGCTGAATAAAATCTGTTGGAAAAAGCCGCAATAATTATGCATCAACCAATATAATTATTCTATTTGAAAATCCAAAGGATCCAAATGGGGCTAATAAAGTTATGTGCACCTCTATCCTAGTGGGCTTGGGTCGTCGACATTCTATAAAATGCGTTTCGACGAAATAATCCAAGATAAAAGGATCCTGATGACAACGATTTGACAAGGGAATCCCACGGCTCCTCAGCCTGCTGGAAGCCTCTTCAGGAAAAAATGCAGGGTTCCGCATCGCATCATTGGTGATGCCCTCTATATGCATTCACTCGATTACTACAATAGCGGATTGGAGAGTTGCTTGCCTCTACGAGATTGCTCTTCACTAAAGAACTCGTGCTCTTTCTTCTGAGTTTATTGTAGCACAGTTTTTCGCGTGCTTCTTCACCTTGCTTACTTCAAGCGTACGTTCGAAAAGTAGGAAGTTTAGGTAAGAAAAAATGCTAGTCTTAGATAATTAAAAATGCATACATTTATGCAGGATACTTTTTCCAAAGTCGTGGGATAAATTTGCGCCTTACCTACAGGATAACCAGAGGAACAGTTCATTACTGCCAGAGTCCCTGATGGAAATGCATCTGTGCTGTTCGTGTTCAAATACTTGACTGAGGCACCATTTGGGACCGCTGCAGCAGTGCATGTTCCAAGTGTTGGTGCTGAAAAGTACTGAGTATTGAGAAATGAAGAAAAATATAGCTATTCTCTCAAGGCGCCGATTATATGCAGAACGCTTTGCCTTACTTGGGACTCGAACCCGTACCCACACGCATTTTGAGCACCATAACAGTACAGAACATGAGGTTCGCGCTCGGGTACAGGATGAGGCAAATCGTTCAAATGAATACTAAAGGACTCTCGTCACAGCTGGAATTTTAACGACCCCTACTTGTTTTAGTGCAGATTTTCAGCTTGCAAACTCCTAGAGTCGGAGTCCATACGCCTTTCACGCACGTAGCGTTAGGGCTTCCTTCAAGTTCGAATCCTCGCTCACATGCGATGGAGAGAGTTGAGCCTTCAGGTTTGTGCCACTGAAAACAGCAATAGTGAACAACAATCTTAGGAACTAACTTCATTTTATAACAAATCGTATAAAAGCGATTTCTAAAGTGACCTACTTGCGCGTGAATATATGAGATATGTAGAGTGGTTTGGGTCACTTTTCAGGACTTATAGAGGGCAACTGCAAACACACGGTAATAACATGGGTTTGAACCTTGAACAGAATTGAACACGCAAGTGAATGGTGGTTCTTTTTCGAGGGCATTGGTTATGTTGTCATATATGAACACGTGTTTTAGGCTGCCCCAGAAGATCGCCCTATTTTTTGGACTTCACACAAAATCGTTATTTAGCGTTGACTTGTTTTTGTTTGTTAACTGCTGTTTTTGGCCGCAGTTCGCCTTGCGAATGTTTCACAAGAATGCTGGGTTGTGAACAAAACTTTCGCCCCAGACGTGCGGGTTCGAATCCCGCCTGGGGCGAAAGTTTTGTTCACAACCCAGCATTCTTGTGAAATATTAGTGTTCACTACTTATTTTCACGTGAGCTATGAAGAGCGCATCACGTGAAGCAATTCACTATAATCGAATTCATGCTCGCGTTAGTTGCTTTCCTGGAATTAAAAATGAGAAAAGTCTTGTTTGTCACCTTTTATTCATTAACCTCTACTAACGATAAGCCACAGGCGGATCGCAGCTAGAAGCAAAACTTTTGCCTTACGATACAATTTGTTTTCGTCGTCCATTGGGAATGGTAAGATCTCTTTCACTCAGCAAGCATGGTTCAGAAGAAAGTACTAGTTTATAAGAGCATCGTTGTGAGATTATGGCCAGCTGCACCCCTGATCGAAGCCAGCGGGCATGAGTCGGTCGCAACTGGGCCATCACTTTTGATGTTTCGGCTACATGGTTCATAGAGGTTGCCGCTCTATAAACGTGTTGAAGTTCGGCCAACAATCCCCATGAATTGAGCAGTGATGAAAGTAGCGCGAGGCAAGTACAGCTTACAACTTATTCCACAGTTCCCGTGTGAATGGACCTACGAAATAAAGTTTTACTGCGAGTAAGAAAAGGAAACCCTGTTACAGAAAGTGAGAAGGTCAATAGCCTGTTCTGCTGGAGAGCTGACAAAGCTAGCTCACAAGTCACCACAGGCTACGGAGTGGAAACATGCCTAAGTATAACCCACGATAAGCCGCTGTTCGTGATGGTCGTCGTTGCTAAAAGGCGATCGAGCTGCTCTTTTGCAAACTGCCATTCCATCGCCTTGCAAATGAAATTGCTCACAATTTGAGGACTACGCATATTCAAGACAATTTTGACTTGTTCTCTTTTAACGCGTCCGCGATGCAAAGGCCTCACAAAGATTCAAGTGGCCTCCTATCGAACCCATGCCGCATCAGCTGCACGCGCTCTCAAGCACGTCCACATGGTACCGTACAGCTGTGGTGAGTTTGCCTGAAAGTGTTGGCTCTGCAAGAGCGAGCTCCTACTCCCTCTCTCCAAGCGCCAACTTTCAAGCCCGGAACGGCTGGCACAATCAATGGCTAGTCCGCGCTTCTACTACGAAGGAGTGGAAAAGGAGAGCTGGCTCAATCCTGGAGCGTGCCTTTAGCTAAGGTTTTCTGAACCTTGCTAAATTTGCAGCTTATTTCGATCTTTTACTTCTATTTCGGGTGAACAAGCAAAAAAAAAAACACAAATGCAAACAGTAATATGCTTAGAACGAATACACATTGCGACTCTAAGATAATGATTGTGTTCTCATGAAGCAACGTCGATGCAAAAAAATATAAAATTCACCATCTCATCTCTGCAGCCTGCGATTTATTCTTTCTGTTTCGCCGGCCTGAAATGTCTCATACTTGACCCAGTTGCGTAAAACACCTCTCCTACTTTTAACTAGTTTCGAACCTTTATCTCCCTCTTCTAACAATTGTCGCGTGGAAAGCTACTGCCTTGAAGAGTATTCGCGCTTAACGTTCAGCAGTGATTCGATCCCTTCCAGTTTGGAGACATTTATCCAGAGAGATAAAGTGAACATGCGTATTCCAGCCTTCCACGCATGCCATTCGACCGTCCAAACCTCCTTTCTCCCCTTCCCGCGAACTGGCTACACTCACCCAGACTCACTGGTTCCTTATTTTGCATTGATGTCTTCACTAGAACTTCTGAGAGGGTACAAACAAGCAGCGTACGTCCTTGGCGGAAGCCCCCTCCCCTCAAGTAGTGATGAAAAGTTGTTTTGCTAGTTTCCAAAGTTGAGTTTCGAAAAACGCACTTATGGAGACAAGCTGACGCGCTTGCGCGACAAATCGCGTCCGCCAAATCGCCCATGTCAGATGCGGCGAAAACCCAGAACCTGCGCTGCCGTCAACGTGGTAGCGGTAAGTATGTGTACCATCAAAAGCCGAGCTAGGGTAAAATGATGCCCCAGTAATGTAAGTGGCAGCATAATTGCGCAGTAAGCAAGGGGTGTGGGTTCGAATCTCGCCTAGAGCCAAGGTACTGCTCATACCTCAGCATCTTCGTGGAAGTGAAGAAACAGCCATCAAATAGCTCATCTCCTCTGTAGACAAAACCTTCAAGACGGACGATTGAAAGGAGCCTATAATTGTTGTAAGTCATACGCCGCAAAAATACCCAAACGCTATTCGTATAAATAGACTGTGTGGTGGCACTGAATCGCCCACCTATCCCTAACAAAAACCGTTGTGACTACTCGCGATTTCGAAATCGAACAGCTAGATCTCTTAATAATACTTCTGCTGAAGCATAAACCGAGATGCAAACCTCATCTGTGCCGTTGATGCTGTAGCTGACTCTTCCACTTGGGAGTATTATAGATGGGCATTGAGTAGCCACTGAAATTCAGAAAGAATCGTCTCAGCAAGTTCGATCGATCCAAAAAAGCTGGTCGTGCTCTATTCCCATCAGAATCTGGCCCGGCCAAAAGAAAAAATCACATTTGCACCCACGACGCACACAACCAAACTTCGCACGCATTGCCCTGTATGGCAATTTACCGGCGCAAAATCACTTAAATCGACCCATGACAGAGTAGCCCCTCCCCCCACTGCTCTCACCATATTCAGAATATGACGCCATCTGTCATTACGTTCCGAGCTCTAAAGCAGGGTGAATAACGGTCGAGGAAATCCTCGACAGGGGGTCGTATTTGCTCCGATGAGAGTTGGGAGGGGGTCGTAATCAAAAGGTTCATCAACGGACACAACGGTGCTGCTGCCACTTATTTGCTGTCATCATTAGTTTCACAAGTGTTGTACTTAGCCTAATGCAAATAACATCTTACAAGTGGTTGTTGGTTTGGTTCGTAGTGATCAGTATGGCATAGGAAGGCAACGCGTCCTGCAAAAGAATCGTAGGGAAAGGGCAGCGAGTATCTACTCTAGAATGATGCACATGCTTCGAGAACTTAGTGGAGGAACAGCATCTTGGTAGAAAGTTCAAAACAGGCAGATTCGCAGCCTTCTTGGCATTATCAGATCCTGCCACCGCAAGCTGTCATTCATCAGAACGGGTTGGAAAGGAAGCGATTTGAATAAAGGAGTGATCAGACATCACTATGACCACAAAAGTTATTCTAATTAGTTAATACTGGAAATATCTTTTGGTGTGATTAAGCAAGTCGTCACTAGGACAAAACACCTTCCCAATGACTCCGAGTGGGGTCACTGCATGGCGCATACAAGAACGGAATGGATCCGCGCCAAGTGCATCATTTTCAATTTACTCCATCGAACTGACGCGTACAGAAGTTC